TACAAGCTTGGAACCTAACAAATATCTGCTGTTCACGAAGAGAAAAATATTTATAGAAAATTTTTCAGATATAAACAGTGGACTAATTCTTAATGGAATTTTCTTTATCAGTTGTTTTCTTTTTAATAAAAATAATTATGGGATTTTAAAATTATTTAAAATTAATTACTATACTATTTATTATAAAAATAATTAATTATAATTATAAGAACTTTTATCTTCAAAATGAAAAGATAAAAATTAATATAAATTTTTATTGCTAAATATATTCATTAAAAATAAAGTTAACAAGATTTTATTTATTATTCTTAATATAATTATTACTTATAATAGTTATAATAATATATCTCATTTCGTTTTATTAATAAATTTAACACTCAACACAATTTTTTGTTTTTAACTATATTATAATATATTTTATTAAATTAAATAAATTTAATATTTTCAGATTAATCACAAATTAACTTTGTTTTTATAAAAAAATAATGGAGAATTATTTTGAACAAACGATAAAAATGACAATAATTACTAAAATAATTGGTGAATATTTTCATTGGATTATAAAAAAGGAAATGTCCACCACCGACCCATATTCCTATTTAGAAAACAATATGCCCGACTTGACTGACTGTTTTTCGAAATTAAAAGTTATAATGAGCACTCACCTCTCATCGCCAAAGCTCTTTTTTCCTGATGACATCGACACCATTCAACTCGAAGAATCAATTCAGAGACTCCATGACCTTCTTCAAATAGAAAAAATAGCCGAGACCAATTGCCTCACCTTTTCAAAGTCAATTAAAAGAACACTAGCTACCTTCTCTGATCTGTTACACGTATTTCTCTCTGCAGAAGAACAATGTGAAAAAGATGGTGAATGGATCATCACTTTCAGAAATGAAGTCATTCACAAAATTATTGAAAAGGAGCGGACAAGGTATGACAAAGAGGTGGAAACAAACGCTTTTCGAAAGGCGCGCCTCAAAGAAGAGTTTGACCAAAAGGAGTTGGAATTGGCTGCAATGATGACTTCGCCTTCTTCTTTATTTTCACGAAGAAATTCGTGTGTTCGAGGCGCTTCACTTTTTGATGAAAAAATTTCGGAAATTGCAACTTCGGAGATTGAAAAGTCCACAACAAATGAGACCAAAAAAAGTGAAAAAACTCCACACAAAACGACGAAAATTAACAGCGAACTTTTGAATGAAAAACAAATTAAAAAAGTCGACGAAGAAAGTTTTAATTTGAACGAAATTGATGAGCCCACCCCCTGTTCAATTAACACTAAAACTCCTCAAACGGAAAAGACTGAATTTATCGACTTCACAAATTTAGTCGACAGAAACTCAAAATCAGAAAACACACAAAGAAAGCCACCAAAGGCAACTTCGAAGTCTTTTAAAACTTCAAGTCCTTCACAAACCGACAACTCAAGTAAATCAAAAACAAAGACAAACTTGAGTTCTTCAGAAGATTCATCTGAGACGGAGGACACGTTAACTGAGACTTCAAATAAGAACGACAATGAACCTTTCTATTCAGTCAAATACGTTGAGGACATTGACAATAGTGATATTAGGAATTGTGGGAAGGTTGAAAGTCGTGAGATCTTGAGTGCCTCAGAGAAGACACTCATCTCCAACTGGAGTGGATTTTCTGTTGGGGAGTGTCTATTTTCATTAGAAGCGTCATTCAAATTCAGCGAGCGCAAAGCGCTATTAAATACATTGAAGCTATGTGGGCAATTTGTTCTTTTGATTTCATCAGGGGACTTTCTCTTTGGTGCTGTTGTTACCAAACAAGTCGACAAAGAGGACGTCTATGTCTCCGACGAAAAGTGCTTTGTCTTCAATTTGAGAGAGAAAAATTCAGACGAAAAAGGAAAGAAATTTAACATCACCAAATCTGGTGAGAAGTTCGCCTTCAGGTTAAGTCCAGTTCGCAGCTCCAGAATCCTCGACGTCGGGATCGGTGACATTAAATTGTTCAAAAGAGTTAAAGATGGCCAGATCATCTGCAAATGTGGCAAAAACTTGTTCGACTATGGCAAGTCCCGACTCTCCGTGACGGGAAAAGACAAACGAGAGAAATACGAAGTCAATAAGTTCCAGTTTTATAAACTCGAAAAACAGTGATTTGTGCTAGTTGTCTGTCTGTTTTTTTTCTTGAATAATAAAAAATGGTTTCAGAAAGGTTTACTTAAACTATTTGATTATTAAAGAATTATAATAGTTTAATTATAATTCTTTTTAATTATTATCAAAACTATTATCAAAACTATTATCAAATTATTTGTTTTATTTAAAAACAAGCGAATTATTTTGGGTGTTTGAATAAATTTTTTGTGTTATTTAAATTGTTATTTTTAATTCAAAATTTATCAATAAAACAAGAAACTGAAAATTCAATACAAATTAGATGAAAAGAAAAGATAACTACTTTGATGTGATTTTAGTTGGAGAACTTAATTATAAAGAAGAATTTGTGATGCAAATTCAAAAAATAAATGCGTTTACGTCGACATCGAGACCACGTCCGTCTTATTGTGTTTGTTGGAATTGATTTAATGTGGAGTTAACAAAAAGGGGTGTAAACTTTTCGTTGACAGAACCTTTGTCAATATGACTGTTTATTCGTTTAGTTTGATATTTTGATAATTTTATTTAATTTTAAGTTCAGAATAATAAAATGAATTAACAATAAGGATCGGTTATTAGCCAATTTTATGTATCTAAAGTAAGGTTTGAATGATTAATAATGTTATTATCATTGTTTCATTTATTGTAATTGTTTTATTATTTTTGTAGTTTCAAATGTTAAAATGATTAATAAACAGAAACAATGAGTGTATTGTCTATATATATTCTTTAAATAGCCAACAATCCTTAAATAATATAAAAAGGCATATACAAACTGCGGAATTACATATAGAAAATGTAAAACCAAAAACAGTTTTTCTTGGAATAAACACAACTGATAACAAAGAAATAGAAGTTGATAATTTCGAAGTTAATAAAATGGCAAAAAGTATAAAAGCATTGAGCGTGGAAATTGAGCAAATATCAACAAAGGAGATCAGCAGAGTTTTTTGTGAAATTGCACAATTTTTAATAATTTCGGATCAAACACATTATTTGTAATTTGTTTTTTTTCTTTTTTAAAATTACTTTATCATAGTGTTATTCATTCATATTCAGAAAGATATTAACTTTTAATTTTAAAAATTTTGTTATTTCGGACTTGGTATTTTTTTGATCAATAAAGTACTTACACTGCTTCCTATTAACATAGAACAAGTCACATATTTGTTGTAAAAAACATAATCAACTTATAATTAGATTAATATTTTAACTATTAATTTTGATTATTAATTCAATTTCAATCAATTAATGTCAAGACTCAATAAAATAGAATAAAATCTAAATTTATTTGAAAATGATTAAACTGGAGAACATCTTCTTGATGAATATTGCATTGTATGTTGATGATATTAACACTCTTCAAACGTTTCTTTTTATTAACACAAAATGTAGAGAAAGTCTTGAGCGTCTCCACATCAATCCTTATATCAATATAAACAGATTTCTCATAGAATTAAATCCATCAAAAATTCTCAAAGTTTATAAAAAAGTTTTTATGTTTCTTGAGAAGACTTTTCCACATATAGAAACTCTTCAATGTGCAGATTACATGATAGAAAACCCGTTGGCATCAAACATTTTGCGACGTGTAAAATTTGTTCGATTGGTCCAAGCTGGTCGATTTTCACATTTCAAAAAACAGCACAACCAAATTAACGAATTGGCATTCCCAAAAATCACAACAGCTTTTATCGACCCAACAAAACCATACAATACATACATTGATAAAATGATTAATTTGACACATCTCAATGTTGTTGCGTTGAATTGGATTTCCAAAATATAGCAAAAATGC